GAACACCAACAGAGCATTATAGAGTAGAGCCCCCCCCCCCCCCTATAATTTTGGTTAAGCAAAAGAGCTTGAACATCATCTTATGTCGGTGAGTAATTTTATATTAATATGCAAATTAGCTATGGCGCTAATTGACTTGACTACCTCAACTGAACTATTTTTTTGGTTCCCCACTATTTTTTTTATACTGGTATCTTTTTATCTTGTGTAAAACTTCAACAACGTAAGACTATGATATCTCATCGTAGACAGATAAAAACTGTTTTCAAACCATGTAGAAAGTTTAACATTTTCAATTTGGCGTCTCCCATTGCTGTTTTTGATTAAATAGTTTAACAACTTTACTCAATCACAAGTCCATGGCAACCAGGACAGATAACTTTCAAAGAAGATTTTTTTCAAATACTTCCATCCTTATTCCAAGTATAATGATGAAAATTTTTTGTTTCCAGCTTATTTTCACTCGAACAATGTCTTGCTGTGCTAGTGATAAGTCTTCTGACTTGACTGCGACCATGGACGTCCAATCGGAGGGCGAGGTTCTAGACAGTGTGAAAGAATATTATGGGAAAGTTTTGAAAACTGATAAAGATCTGAAGACTAATGCATGTACGGGCGGTATGCGGATGCCGAAACATATACGTGATGCTTTATCTAAGGTGCACGATGAGGTAGTTACAAAGTAAGTGCATAAAATAAAATTACTCATCAGATTTGTGATTTCGTGATCTTGAACGCCACCTTGTGGGAAAACAATGAAATCTATTTTCTGTTCTCCAATATTTGTGGTGATTCACTGGGTTAATATTGCAGTTGTGGTTATGCGAGTTATACTGAATCAAATTGCACATCATAACATCCTTTGATAAACCACTGTAAAACATGTCCTTTTCGCGAGCATGTCTTTTTCGCGAATTTAGCAAGAGAACTGATTCGCTAATTCAAGATGTCGCTAATGACTTTATTAAATATTCAAAATGGCTGCCAAGCAAAGAAATCAACAATGACAAGAGAGATTCGCTAAATCAACATTTCGCTATCACGTCATTTTACCACAATTTGCTAAAATTGTACGCTGCTTTTTCAACATGTTTTACAGCATTTTCTGAACTTCTTGATATCATACAGTGTGTATGAAATCAAACGTGATAACAAAACAAAGAACATTATATAGCATCGTAGTGGCTTCAAACATCCCAATGGATTTTACAAATGCAAACATATTTTTGGGGTATTTCAATGCTAATCAATATTGTGCTATACATAATTGATTATAGCCAATTTTGATGAAGGAAGGATATCTCAATGCAATATTGCCCTCTGAAAGGTCAGTATTTTGACATTGAAGTATAAAAATATTCAAGTCGAAAATCAAATCATTCAATTTTCCTGGCAGATGTTCACATACATGTATAACAAATCTGTAATGAAAATATTCTGTTGTGAATAGCATGTTATTATCTGACCACGCATCAAGAGTGGATGCACTTCAGGATGACTTTATGCGGTATGCGACCGCAAGTTTGTTTTGTGAACTAAAACAGCAATATTGTCAGCTAATGGGTTTACAATACAGCTGTGTTGCAAGCAATGTTGCTTCAGAAAGCAAGTAGATTGTTGGAGGCTACATATCTGTATTTCAGCCAATTTTCTAACGATATCCGTAGTTATGTTTACAAACCAAATTCACAGAAGTTTATATGTACATGTATGGCCATGTAGCTGTAGAAAGAATAAAACATCTTATTCCGTGAGTGAATTTTATCATGGTTGATATCATCTTCAGATACTATGGCTGTGGGTTAGTCATTCCGGACAGCTTGGAGGGTTGCAGTGTATTGGATCTCGGTAGCGGATCAGGACGAGATTGTTACACTGTGGCACAGTTAGTTGGTGCTAAAGGCAGCGTTACTGGGATTGATATGACTGATGAACAGGTAAGTTCAAAACTAAATTGTAGTAATTTCAGTTATGCCTAAATCATCTCACGATGGATGGATGGATGATATGGATGAGATCATTTAATTCAGACAGACCAACAATTAGTAATCAAATAACTAGAATGGCATTTTATGTAACATACATTGAAAGTCACATTTGATCACTCAGTCACATGTCATACAATGAAAGTCACATGAAATTCTCTCTACTCCAGCTTGACGTAGCAAATAAATATAAGGAATATCACAGAGAATTATTTGGGTACAGTGAGAACAATGTACACTTCGTGAAAGGATATATTGAAAAACTTGGTGAGGCTGGTCTAAAGGACAACACCTTCGATGTAATAATGTAAGTTATTTACAAGTAATACTATGCATGAACCCACTAAAGGTCACACATCCTGGTACTATGCATGAACCCACTAAAGGTCACACATCCTGGTACTATGCATGAACCCACTAAAGGTCACACATCCAGGTACTATGCATGAACCCACTAAAGGTCACACATCCAGGTACTATGCATGAACCCACTAAAGGTCACACATCCTGATACTATGCATGAACCCACTAAAGGTCACACATCCAGGTACTATGCATGAACCCACTAAAGGTCACACATCCTGGTACTATGCATGAACCCATTAAAGGTCACACATCCTGATACTATGCATGAACCCACTAAAGGTCACACATCCAGGTACTATGCATGACCTCCTAAAGGTCACACATCTTGGTACTATGCGTGACATCCTAAAGGTCACACATTCTGGTACTATGCATGAACCCACTAAAGGTCACACATTCTGGTACTATGCATGAACCCACTAAAGGTCACACTTCCTGGTACTATGCATGAACCCACTAAAGATCACACATCCTGGTACTATGCATGAACCCACTAAAAGTCACACATCCTGGTACTATGCATGAACCCACTAAAGGTCACACATCCTGATACTATGCATGAACCCACTAAAGGTCACACATCCTGGTACTATGCATGAACCCACTAAAGGTCACACATCCTGGTACTATGCATGACCACCTAAAGGTCACACATCCTGGTACTATGCATGACCCCATAAAGGTCACACATCCTGGTACTATGCATGACCTCCTAAAGGTCACACATCCTGGTACTATGCATGAACCCACTAAAGGGCATAGAACCCACTAAAGGTCACACATCCTGGTACTATGCATGAACCCACTAAAGGTCACACATCCTGATATTATGCAAGGTCGCACATCCTGGTACTTTTGAGGGTCAAAAATCAGTTTCTCATTTTATCTAAAACAACGTAAGCAGTTATAAAAACAGTTAATCCGGCCCAAATTAAAACTTAAGAAATTATTGACAACGAGACCCAGCTCAGAAAGGGCCAGGATGTATGACCTTTAGGGGTCATGATATGGTCTTTATGCTGCATGCTTATTGGCCAATCAGAAGGCAAAGTCTCTATCACATGTTTGTTAGGTATTTTTTAAACGTTATAACTATATTATATTCATAAGAATTTGTTATTAATTAAATTGTGGTTATAATAAGTGAAAATGGTGAAAACCATGATCAACTAATGTCAGTTAGTTTATAAACCAGATAATTTAATTGATTCCCTGTTTTTTTTGCAGATCAAATTGTGTTGTTAATCTGTCTCCTGACAAGCGTGCTGTACTGTCGGAAGCATTCCGTGTATTGAAACCTGGTGGTGAGCTCTATTTCAGTGATGTGTATGCAAGTAAGCCTGTACCAAAAGAAGTGCAAGAAAACAAAGTATTATGGGGTACGTATAGTCTGAATGTAAATCAACCATGGTAAATTAAAAAATGATGTTTATTATGTGGTCATTATGATATCGTAATCAAGTATGACCTGCTGGCAATAATTTTACTGTTTGATGTTTGTTTTTTAAAAAGGTCATTTGCACTTTTTAAAAGGTAAAATGAAAGAGCATTTCATGATAGCAAATAAAATTTACAAATTAATCTGCAAGTCCTTTCAGCGCTGCTAACTCAGTCGTATTTGTTATCTGTTTTTTTTGGCTCTGAATATCGCAAGTGATTGTGTTTTAATGAATATTTTGAAGCACCATGTAAATTTTAACATAATTTTGTGTTCTAAAAACTCAATCATTTTAAAAAACTGATAATTCAAAATTTGTCTAAATTAGCGAGTCCTACCTCACCTGACATTGTCATGTGATCATCAATATACATCACCTGACATTATCATGTGATCATCATTAAACATCACCTGACATTATCATGTGATCATCAATATACATCACCTGACATTATCATGTGATCATCAATATACATCACCTGACATTATCATGGGATCATCAATATACATCACTTGACATTATCATGTGATCATCATTAAACATCACCTGACATTATCATGTGATCATCATTAAACATCACCTGACATTATCATGTGATCATTAATATACATCACCTGACATTATCATGTGATCATCAATATACATCACCTGACATTATCATGGGATCATCAATATACATCACTTGACATTATCATGTGATCATCATTAAACATCACCTGACATTATCATGTGATTTTCATTAAACATCTGACATTATCATGTGATCATCAATATACATCACCTGACATTATCATGTGATCATCATTAAACATCACCTGACATTATCATGTGATCATCATTAAACATCACCTGACATTATCATGTGATCATCATTAAACATCACCTGACCTGACTGATTTATTTGCATTGTAGGTGAATGCATATCTGGTGCTTTATACTGGGATGATTTGATGAAGATCGCCAAAGAAGTTGGCTTCACAAAACCACGCTTAGTTACAGCATCACATATCTCTATAGACAATGAAAAACTTCAATCCATTGTTGGTATGTCATTTCTTTAATATTGCTTTATTTTAGTCATAATTTTCACATTTTATGGATTGTATACCTTCTTGTATATGTATTTTATTTATTTAAATATTTTCTATTGATCTTAATGTCATTTCCCACAATACATTGTACATGATATGACATGTAGGGCTGCTTGACTTTTTGCATATTTATTTAGACTTTCTTTATTGATCTTAATGTCATCTCCCACAATGCATTGCACAGGATATGACATATTAGGTTGCTCAACTTGTATATTTATTTTCGCTTTCTTTATTAATCGTATTGCATCTCCCACAATGCATTGCACAGGATATGACATATTAGGTTGTTTAACTTCTTGTATATTTATTTATGCTTTCTTTATTGATCTTAATGTCATCTCCCACAATGCATTGCACAGGATATGACATATTAGGTTGCTTAAATTCTGCATAGGATCATATTTATCTTTTCTTCACTAGGTGACATCAAGTTTGTGTCAGCCACTTACCGACTGTTCAAGATACCAGCTGATGTGAATTACGAGGCAACCCAAGGAATCTATGATGGCACAATAACTGCCTGTGAAAAAGGATTTGTCTTTGACGCTCAGAATGAATTCAAAGTATGTTCCTCAATTATTTGTTCTCAGATTGATTTGTTTACTGAAAAATATACTAGTTTTGAGTTCACTGGTTGCCACTATATATGTGCTATAAACAACTGTATTCAACTATACACACAGTGTAAAAGTGGAAACAGGTTTTCTACATTTTATGAGCATTTCATAAACTTTCAAAGATAACGGAACAAATCAGAAGCTGATATGGTGATGACATCTGCCTAAAATTGTGTATCCCTGCTCAGCCCAAGTGATCAACTGATCTCGCCTCCCTTCAAGTTTTAGTGCATTGTGGGATAGAACATTTGCATTCAATGACTTTCATCACACTCTGATAGCACTTCTGTGTCTGAAATAAACAAAGGAAAGTGTTTAAATGTGACATAAACGTGACGTACGTAACGATACAATTTCCAAATAAGGAAGACATTCGAACATGTTCATAATACTTTCAAACACATCTGTACAGTTGATTTTGGACAGGTTAATTCTATATTTTTGTTGTCAAACAATATATCAAAATAAGGTAATTATGATATACAATGGAAATTAATACTCTTACAATTTTTGTGAGAAATTACTGCATATATTAACTCAAGTTTGATCATTTTCTACATGAATAGACAGGAGATGTGGTCAAAATTGATTCTGATTTGGCCACTATTTTACGGTCCACAAGATTTGCAGATGATTTTAGTTTTCAACCAACAACCGACACAGACCAATCTAAAGCGGGATGCTGTCTCCCAACAAAGGTAAGTATTACATCCACTGTGTGGGGTTTGATAAAGTTGGTTTCATTTTGTCATAGCATTTTGAATTTGATACAAATCACACTTCCAGAGAACTAAAAATAATTGTCAGATGTTTTGTGTTGTAGACTTTGCAGGAGTCTTGATTTGACTATCAGACTTGTTGGGACAGTGTGTTACATTGCCATAAATCTATGGAATATGTTTTCAGTGACAAAATACACTATATGTACCAAGATTACTGGTACATGATTTTGCAATTTGTACATAAAAAATGTTAGGAGAGACAACAGCGGTATTTAATGTCCACAACTATTAAATTTGTTTTTTTTTGTAGGAGAACAATGCAGATCCTTTTAAATTCATGGAAATATCTGATTCATGCACAACTGGCGGTAAGTGTCAATTAGGAGGAAGCTGCGGCAGTGGTGGTAGCAAATCATGCGGCAGTGGTGGTAGCAAATCATGCGCCAGTGGTGGTAACAAGTCTTGTGGCAGCGACAAGTCATGCGGTACTGGAGCATGTGGGAAAAAGGAAGATAGCTGCTGCAAATCTAAAAGCAGTGGATGTTGTTAATTGTGGATCAGATCAAACCTGAGATCTATGCTTCGGTCTTCTACTAAAATGTGACACCTACAAATATATTTAAATGAACTTAAGTATAAAATAAAATCATAAATAAATTTAATGTCAAACTTTTCAAAAGATTCTTCTTGTAGTATGCATTCCAATTCGTTTTAGTAACAAAGCAATGTAATCTAGTCATTTCTATTGTGTTCCAAATTTTAACTGTGTTGCTACTAATTGGTTATTTTTAAAGCGTCATTCACTTAAGCTACCAATCAGAATCATTTCTACTCGTAGCTTCATTTCCTTTCAGAAATCAGAGGTTGTGATTATTAAAAAAGTGTACCATGCTCTTTTATGGTATTTAAAGCATACTTTTCACAAGTTTAAGTAAATATACAATTTTCATCAAGTGATATTTTCGACTTCTTGTTAAAAACCACAAGTCTGATTGCTTTGATACTATACATATTGTTCATTTTCTAATGATATCTTCAGTTCTTAATTGAAATGTGCATTGCTAACAGCGGAGCTATCTCAACCAACAGGCTGCTTGTTACACACATACAGCTGTACTTAGGTTATTGAGTGTCTTGGTACTATCTAACTATGAAAAGACATGTATTTCGTCGAATATTGATGGACTATGAGCATTGCATGCTGGATATATTGTATCAATTACACAGTGCATTCTGGGAGAGTAGACATATTTGAATCAATGTACGCATGTATCAAACTATTTTGTAATAAACATATGACTGCAAAATATTGAATTGAAAATGTCTCAGAGCATTTATGAAAGGTGTTCTGTTCGAGTAATAATTTTGATCAATCAACAACTTTGCTTTGTTAGTTGCTTTGTGGCTTTTGTCAATTCCTTGTTTTAGACAGTTTTTATAATCCTACAATAATAATGAATTTATTGCATCCTTAGAAATAGTTTCCATTGGTTGACAGCAATAAAATGTTAGTAATAAAGTACAATACATATATAACTAAAGTTAAATAAAAATGTCAGTTCTTGTTATTTCTGATTTCAAATTATTTTGTATAAGTATTCACCAACTTGTCTTATTAGTACGTCTTCTCTTGAATATATTTAAATATCTGGTCATCACTTTTCAATTCTTCTGGAATATTGATATTATTAAATAACTTTTGTCTTTCTGTTTGGTACCTAAGACATTCCATGAAGAAATGTTCTTCATTTTCAATTTTGATCTGGGAACATTGCTTACAGATTCTGTCTTCTAAAGGTATTTTGGGTTGGGTATGTCTACCCTTCTCAACAATGATATTAAACATGACGTGAGTTTGAATATGCTTTGTTTTTGTCCTGTATACGCATTCAGAGCCAAGTTGATAGGGTTGGGTTCTTACGTGGCTCCGAACGTGTTTACGCATCGAGCCTAACTTTCGGGTCGAATTCACGTCCTCAATCGTCTTCTTCCAATAGTCTCTCATTTCAATTAAATCAGAGACAACATCGTTTGTAATTTCGCCTAATTCCTGGCTTTACGAAAAGGTACGTGTCTCAATATCTATTTGGCAGAGTAAAGAAATACTGCGATAAATTGATAGCTCAATGGGAAACAGAAAAATGGCGTATGAAATTATGCGACAAAAACTTCAAGCAAGACTGAACAGATCCAATGAAAATTGAAGAAGCTTTTGAAGACGCAAAAAATAGAAATCGTAGAAGTGACCACGGTACGGCTCTGTATATACCATCGAATTTGTTGACTTAATTGCGGTGTAATGTCACATGACACCATACTTATATGACATCATAAACTCAGATTTAGTAGACCTTTGTGGTGGTAAATAATGTGTTATGCTGTACTTTGGGTTTGCTCATAAAAACAAACCATATTTGGGAAACAATGCTCACTGTGTTGACTTGACTTCGATACAATGCAGTACAGGGCAGATGTTTATGCCATAAACTCTGTCTGAAGTGTCTGCATTCCCAATAATATGTACCCACTCATGTGACACCCCACCTTTTACTAATTTTATTTTATGTCATACGGTGAGCACAGGCTGACGGCAACTCTGTTGGGATTTCGCGCTCACCCCTCGTTTACGCAATTTATATTTATTTTTCAAGAATTTTTCATTGGAATCCCAACAGACTGCAAGCAAGTCTACACCCCACGCAGAATTGTTGTCATGGCAAGTGTGTATCTAGAATAGAATAGATCATTCAATCAGCATCAAGTTGGTGCCCGTGATAGTCGCTGAACGTACAGAGGAAACCCTTCAAACGTGTTAATATTTGCGCGGCTTTATTGTGGTTGTGGTTTAAATGTGTGGATAATATAGTTTTAACTTTATTCAGTTTGTGTGAGAATTGTTCAAAGTTAAACTGTGTATTGTTGCTTAATATTAGCTGTGACGCATCGGAGTATCCTCTATTCTCGCAGTTCGTACTCGCACTAGAGGGTTCGCCATGAGTTGACAAGCTCCAGTGTTCATTTGAATTGATGAAAACAAATGCAGAAATGGTACATATAACGCCTGATTAAAATTATAATCATCAACACCAGAGCGAGGACAAATTTGTAAACACTCAACGAAGAGGGCGCACTTCACTGACTAAAGTTACCGGTAGTCATTTTAAGGGGACTCTAGCCAGAAGGTTCATGACGTGTAATTTCAAACAATTTTGCCCTAAAAGTTATCTAGTTTCAAGAATCTCCCATGTGTCTCAACATAAAACCCATATACTAGTAATCAATGCATATGAGTCGACCATATGAGACATAGCGGGTGGCTGGAAGATTTCCGGAAAAACAAAAATGGCAAGTGACAGGGGAGAAAAAAAATGCATGCAAGAAGTACTAATATTTCTTTATAGTGACACATGCCTTACGCATATTAACAATCACAGTAACAAGAAAATCATAAAGTTTGTAATAATATAAACTTCTTTATTCATTCTTTAAAAATATATCATGTATATACCAGAATAAATTGACAATAGATTTTTTTTGTAATCAGACAAAAACGTCAATGCTGTATACGGATTAAAAAATTGTAAATAAATCAGGAAAGCCACAGAAAAGATATATTTGCATTCAACCACAGAAAAGATATATTTGCATTTCTTACAAAGTCTACTCCCCCCACCCCCCAGATCTTGAATGGGTTAATTTATTCATAAATTATTAGGCCCAGAAAAAAAGATGTGAATAATGAATATTAAAAATTTCATTAAATGTGCACTTTTATTTTTCTTCAGATTCTTCTACAGTACAACATATGACAAAAAAAAAAGCTGTGACACCCTCGGTTTTAAATGATTTTTCTGGGCTCTATATTTTGCATAATTGTTAATGATCCTATTATGACTTGCATTTATAAACGTGGTTGATTTCTGTTGAGGTCATTTTCAATGCATTCTGAGATTTGCTTGTGTAATAGAAAATATCTGTGAACACTGGGATACACTATTCTGTTTAGGTTTCACGCCACAATTAGAATTGTTATCAGGGCGTGGTTCACAGACAGCAATGCAATTCTCAAAACAATTTTATACACGCTTTAATTTCAAACCGTTTTAGCCTTAGTTTGCTAGTATGGAGTTTCAGTTAGAACAAATTTGGTTTTAGAATGAAGGAGCTAATGGTAACACGTCACCTGTGCATGCGTCAGATGGCCATAGCGTATCATTGTTTACAAACAAGCGTCTACCCATGAGCCTTTGCGTTTTAGCATGTGTTGTCATCATCGCTTGGGACTCAATTCCTGCGTGTGCACAGGTGACTACCCTCCTGCTTTAAGTGTTGACAGTATCATTGTAGTTATTTGGTAATGATAAAATTAAAAAACTGAAGCCACTTTAATTTTTGGGGTACAAGGTTATTGGCTACTAGTGTAAAATATACATTCTTTTCATGTTATTACATTGTTGTCCATAGGGTTTACATGTAATTGAGACCTCATTTTAACACATTTTGAAAATGTATAAAAACAAAGTAATCACTCTAGATGAACACTAGTCCTGAACTGTCTTGAAGTGTCATTATTTCAAAGCATTGGCATCACAAAAAAACTCACAATCATGAACACTAGGCCATATTCTTTACAAGGTACTAGTAAACATAGTGAGGATTTGCTTGAGTAAAAACAAAAGAATTTCTGAGAAAAACTTTGGCAAGTACTCTTTTTCTCACTGCTTGAAGTAAACAGGTATTGTCTATTCCAAATCTAGTTTTCAATTTTAATTCTGTTTCTTTTTACCAGCTGCAAGTAAACCAACAAACACACCTGAAAAATTGAGAAAACACATGAAAGTTATAAAATTAATAAAGAGAACAAACTGTAATGGCATCAAAAAATACCTAGAAAATGCATGTGATCAAAACATGTAAAGGAACAACAAAACTCAAGTATCTGAGGAGTGTATAAATCAATGAAAATATTAAACCTTAGACCCAAAGTAAATTTAGTCATGTAGGTAGTCATGTAGGTACATGTAATGAAAAAGTATATTTAACTTGACTAAAAGAAATTATAGTACGGGGTAAATGTATAATGCATAAAAATAGACAAAATTACACTAACACTTTGGTGGGATTACAGCCATTCTGAGAATTATTCGGACAGTCAGTTAGCAAAATGACTTGCAACTTTGCAAAACACTTTGGTCTTTGCTCATTCTAAAATTGTCGGCACCACTTGATTGACGCGTGCTTGGTTTGGGATTACTATTTCATAGCGGTTGTCGGCAAGTTGGGTGTTGCTTAAATTTGTCGAAAAATGTCAACCCCTCGCTCATTTTAGTCAATTTACTCTGTTACAAAAATGGACTATACATAATAACGGTCGTCATATCCTCGTCATTTTCAAACTGCAGTTGAAAAAGTGATTCGCTCAAGGAAGGCACTTTTGATTTGACAAAGCGTTATAATCAAGTTTTCCGTCCGTGTATCCCTGACGTACTCTCCCACCTCGGTATAAAATCTGAATTTGATACATAATGTACCAGTAATGTAACTTTTAGTTTGGCTCAAAACTGTCGCGAAACTGCGGCGCGTTCAATGCTAAGGAACTCTACTTTGAGCCTTCTCGCAAACGATGAGCTCATTAATACCTGGGCTTACTGAGCACTCGGGAGTTGTTTTGTAAATTGCGCTATGTCAGATGGACTCAGATGGTTATAACAATTTAAAATAACACTTTGAATGCACATACAACATATAACCTGTTAATGTATGGTGACCAACACGTGTCGTTTTGAAAACAGTGTTTTACAAACATCTAGCAAGATAACTGTGGGCATGCCAATACAACGGCGCCATCAAGTCTAGATTGGAAAAGACCCAAGTGTTTTGCAAAGTTTCAAGATATATTGCTAACTGACTGTCCAAATAATTCTCAGAACAGCTGTAAATGCCCATGCAAAGCACGATTCAGACGAATTACTTTGAATCAACAAAAAATTAAACAATATTTTCAAATGAAACAGTAATCATTTATTAACATTTTGACTGTACCGATATTAATTATTCTCATCCATTTTTGGATGCAATATTTTGCACATTTTTATGTACTGTTCTGTCATTTCTTGGTTATCTAAACACTATTCTGTTTAGGTTTCACGCCACAATTAGAATTGTTATCAGGGCGTGGTTCACAGACAGCAATGCATTTCTCAAAACAATTTTATATACGCTTTAATTTCAAACTGTTTTAGCCTTAGTTTCAGTTAGAACAAATTTGGTTTTAGAATGAAGGAGCTACTGGTAACACGTCACCTGTGCATGCGTCAGATGGCCATAGCGTGTCATTGTTTACAAACAAGCATCTACCGATGAGCCTTTGCGTTTTTAGCATGTGTTGTTATCGTTGCCTGGGACTAAATTACTGCGCGTGCGCAGGTGACGACCCTCTCGCTTTTTAATCACTAGAGATGATAGAATGTGAGAAAAAAATTCATTATAGTTTGATGCTTACTGAACAACTAACATACAAATATTTCTATTGCTCATGTTGATTTATAGATTGACTCAAAAATAATGATAGAAAACAAAATAAAACAAGCTTAAAATAGTAATCCAATCTTGACCTAACAGCCATTTTGATTCCACCTATCAACTAACTTCTCAACAACAATCCACATTCAATACAATCATCACAAAATTTAAATGTCATGTGTGAATTTAATTTGACCTTTGAACTCACCTAGACACCCAAGTGCAATGACCCCTGCGACAATAGGTATGGTGATGGCATATACTCTTGGTAGAAACAAATTATGAATCACATGATCAGCATCTACAAATGGCTGTAAAACAGAAACAAAATAAGCAGTATATCAGCTAATATAGCATTAAAGCCCTATAGAAAATAATGTTTTTGGTAATGGTAATTTTTTTTTTGATTCATGCAAGCATTTTAAAAAAAATAAACATTCTAAAATTCTGCCAAAAAAAACATTTTTAACTGAAAGCTTACTATTTTTTCTGGACCGTAATCACCATTTAAAGTACTTTCACCAAAATGTTGACAACAATACAACATAGCCTGCATTAAAATATTTGTCATGGAAATTTAGAAACATATATTATTATTGGATGGGTCATACCATTATTTCATATAGGGGTTAGTGGGTGCATACTTACCAAGAAAATAACCCATATAGTATAGTAAGCAAAGAGAAGCCCAGCCGTCGCAACTATACACAGCCCAAGTATTCGATCACTTCCGGTTGCCTTCAATGGAATAAACATAACTAGTATTCATACATTCAAAGGTTCGTACTTTGCTAATAAAGTGCATATACCCTGGAATTTAATTTTTTAATTTTCACTACCGGTATTTTGAACATATTCAGTTTTAAGTTCACGAATTTTCCAGGGTGAATACAATCACTAAATTACTAAATAATACAAGATCTCTATAATACTAACTAATATGAAATTACTAAATTGACAGCAGGCATTAAGATGTCAAGTAAGACCCTGCTTCCTGACTTCGAAGCTTTTACTTATGAACTGAGCTACTGG